GGAGGTTGAGGAGGAGGATGAGGCGAAGGAGGAGCAGGAGGGGGAGGAGGAGGAGGAGGAGGAGGAGGAGGAGGAGGAGGACCATTGTAAACCCAAGAGTCTTCAACGATGTTGGAGTAAACCGTCCCTCCATGCTCCCTCTTCATAGGCCCCAACAACGGTTTATTTTTTATTGATGGGACTTCCTCGTTGGGAGACGCCCGTTTTCAGACCCTGACGCATGCCAACACATTTTCTCGGGATTCCAACGCCACGGATCAACCTGACTGTTGCGTCTTGACGATCCTGAATCGTACCAGAACGCCATTCCTAGGACTTCAACACAGAGAATCAACGTAAGTGTTGCACCCGTATAATACTGAATTCTTCCCAAACACCATATCTGGTACGTTGATGATGTGAATCCGTGAAGCTCTTGAACGTGCTCAAATCGAATGTACGCCGCGCTAAGGCGAGAGCCACATGTTGAAAAGGCACCGCCCTCAATCCGTGAAGCTCTTGCACATATTTAAAACTAGTGTGCGCCGCGCTAAGGCGAGAGCCACATTTTGAAAATGAAGCGCCCTCAATCAGCGAAGCTCTTGCGAATTTTTGAAACGAATGTGCGCCGCGCTAAAGCGAGAGCCACATTTTGAAAACGACCCTCCCTCAACCCGTTGAACTTTTGCACATTTTTTGAAGCGAATGTGCGCCGCGCAAGGGCGAGAGTCACATTTTGAAAACGATCCGCCCTCAATCCGTGAAGCTCTTGCAAGTTTGTAAAACGACTGTGCGCGGTGCTAAGGCGAGAGCCACATTTTGAAAGCCACCCGCCCTCAATCCGTGAAGCTCTAGCATTTTTAAAGCGAATGTGCGCCGCGCTAGGGCGAGAGCCACATTTTGAAAACGACCCGCCCTCCATCTGTAAAGCCGCCCCCCTTTTTTGACCTTCAGAGTCATAAGTGGCGAGGAAGTCTCAGGCGAATCGCCCGGCCCGCCCTAAAAAATGGCTTCGGGGTGCGACAGGGAGAAGTTATTTATAAGGAAACGGAATGGAGGAGGAGGAGGAGGAGGAGGAGGAGGAGGAGGAGGAGGAGGAGGAGGAGGAGGAGGAGGAGGAGGAGGTGGAATGGAGGAGGGGAATGGAGGAGAAGAGGAGGAGGAGGAGGAGGGAGGAGGAGGAGGAGGAGGAGGAGGGGGAGGGGGTGCCATGCCCCTGGGCCGCTCTTCTTCGGCGGCGAGCGAGGGGGGGGGAGAGAGAAGGAGGAGGCCTTCTCAGCAGGCGGCGGGGCTGCTCGGAGGCCCTCCGGCCGTCTGGGACGTGTTCTGTGTCTTCGGGGGCAGGGCCTCGACGGCTTCTCGCGAGGCCTGCTGGGGGGCTTCCGAGCCTTCTGGGAAGGCCCGCCCCTTCTCACTTCCCCCGCTCGCTCGCCGCCGACTCCTGCCTCCTGCTGCCGCTCCTCCCTCGTCCCTGCAGCTGGCCTGCCGCGCGCTCTCCTTGGATGGGGCCAGGAGCGCGCGGTGGTGGTGGCGTCCTGCGCTGGGGGGACAAACAAAAACCTCCCCTGAGCCGCTCTTCGGCCCCGGGCAGTGCCATGGCAGCCCCCGGGGGGGCGGCCGAGGGCGGCCGGGCGGCGAGCGAGCGGGGGGGAGGTGCGCAGGGGCGGGCCTTCCCAGAGGGCTCGGGAGCCCCCCAGGCCTCGTGAGAAGCTCAGGGGGCCACAGGCGAACCCTGCCCCTACCCTCCACGATTTCTGAGGGAGAGGGTGGGGTTCACTTCTATCCGAACGAAGTGAACCCCACCCTCCCCCTCAGACTTCGTGGGGGGTAGGGGTAGGGTTCGCCTGTGGCCCCCGAAAGCTGTCGAGGCCCTGCCCCCGAAGGCACGGGGCGCACTTCCCAGGCGGCCGAGGAGGGCCTCCGCGCAGCCCCGCCGCCCGCTGAGGAGGAGGCCTCCGCCGGCTCCTCCGCCTCCCCCCTCGCGCGCCACCGCCCTGCAGCCCTGGCGGGGCGTCCTGGCAGTCGGCCCCCAGGGAGGACCGAGGCCAGAATGCTGAGTCGGGCCTGTCCCCCTCCAGGAGGGATATGTTCAAAAATAGTCAACACATAGTCGGGGGACGATTTTGGGTTACTATTTGTGAGCATCTCAATTTTTCGTCCAAAATCCGCATGTAGGGGGCATGCCAAAGAAAATAAGAAGCCTCAACCCTCCCCCTCTCCTCCTCCTCCCCTCCTCCTCCTCCTCCTCCTCCTCCTCCTCCTCCTCCTCCTCCTCCTCCTCCTCCTCCTCCTCAAGCCTTGTGGCCCGAGGCGCGCGCGGTGGCCGCGCGCGCCAGGGCCGCCTGCGATACACGAGCCGTCGTGGGGCGCGCGCGGGGTGGGCCCGCAGCGCCACCGCGGCCCGTGGCTTGATGGGGGGCCTCCGAGGAGGCTGCAGAAGCTATCGCAGAACAACGACGATTGTTACGTGCACACCATGGGCCGCGGCGGCCGCAGCCAAGGGGCGGACTGGCGCGGCACAGCCCCGTGGCACACGCAGCAGCAGCATCAACAGGGCGGCTGGCAGCGGCGTGTGCCCAGCAAGCCAAGGCAGAGGCAGAGCAGCCAGAAGAGGCGTGGGGAGTACCTCGTCTGCCCGTACTGCCCACCAGGCGAGAGCTGGGTGTACACCAAGCGTGCGGGCACTCCAGGCTGGGAGGGATGTAAGACCTGCACATACACGTGGCCCAAGCCCGCCGACCTCAATGACAAGGACAAGCTGGCGGCGAAACAGGTCCTGGCCACGCTCGGACTGGATGATGACAGCCTCCGTGCGATCCAGGCTGTGGTCAAGTCCGCCAAGACGTCGGGGGACACCCAGACCGCCCAGGCAGCCGAGACGCTGGCCAAGCTCCCCGTGCTGGCGCCTGCACCAGAGGGGCCCGCCAACCCTGAGCCCAAGCTGGGGGTGCGCTTGGAGGCCGCTGCGCTGCGCTGGAGACAGGCCCAGCAGGCCCAGGAGAAGGTCACAGGCCAGCTCGCGCAGCTGGACGAGCGCAGGCAGGAGCTGCTGGTCCAGCTCGACGAGACCACCGACGAGGTCATCGAAGCCAAGGTCCAGCATGATGAGCTCCAGAGCGAGGTCAACAAAGCAGGAGGAGGCGCACACACGCCACAGCCCACGCAGCAGCAGCAGGCCACCGAGGACCAGTGGGGCGACTTGCCCGAGCTCTCTGAGGAGGACCTGGAGCTCCTGGACCCCGACGCCAAGACCAAGTACGCCGAGGCCGCAGCGCTTGCGCGGCAAGCCAAAGAGGTCTACAGTGCCGCCAAGGACCAGAGCACGTCGATCAAGGAGGTCGCCGACACCCTCAGAGAGTTCCAGGCCAAAGTCACTGCCAAGAAGCGCCGCCGTGTGGGAGACGGAGAAGGAGAAGCTACAGAGGAGGCCAAGGTCGAAGTCAAAGAGGAGGCCGCTGGAGCCACCACCGACCCCGCCAAGTGCGATTTCTCCAACGCCGATGATGTCAAGCAGTACCTCGACCAGACCACAGCCATCAGGGCTCGGCAGCGTGCAGCCAATGCTCAGGAGGTGGCACCCAAAGGGCAGGACGACAAGGGCGAGCAAGGCACTGACACTCACGCTCGCGCTCCTGGGGGCCCTGGTGAAGGAGGCGGGGGCGGGGGGCCCTCGACGCCATCCTAGCCTGGCCAACACGTACAACGCCCTATCAGCGGCTGCAGGGCCTGCTGAACGCCACGAAGTTCCTCCGCTGGTGCGAGGGCCGCAGACTTCTGCCCACGCCCGAGCCCAACGGCAACCAGGCGGCCAGCTGGACTATTGAGGGGGCCCAGAACTCTCACCTGGGAAAGAGTTCGCGTCCCCTCCATCCAAGGTCGGGCGCCTGCGCGGGCGGCTGGAACCAGCCCACCATCATTGCGAACAACTGCACAGCCGCGAGCGCAGCCGCCGCAGCAGGAGGCCCTCACGCTCGAGGTGACGGAAGCTGCCAGACTGGCCAGTCCCAGGCGACTGCCAAGGGGAAGCGGCATCAGGACACAGGCGGACAGCCTGAGCGTCGAGTCCGTTTTGGCACCGAGCCAGGCCATGGCGAACCAGGTCAGCGCCCTGGACACCAAGCGCGCCAAGCAGCTAGGCAGACCAGCCCGCACCAGCGACCAGACCCAGGTGCACACCCTCAAGACGCCGATGAACCCGTGCGCGCCAGGCTCGGTAGGGTATCGTCAGCGGGCAGCTGGGAGCCGCTGATTGAACGGGAGGCCGTGCAGGTTTTCTTCGGCAGCAGTAGCCAGTGCAACGACGCGGCGAAAACCTTCGTGGAGGGAGCGCAGTGCTTCGACCTCATTGGCCTTGCGGAGCACCACCTTACGCGCCCCCAGTGCGACGCCGAAGAGCAGAGGCTGCGCCGATGCGGGTGGCGCTCCATGCGCTCCTGGACGCCAGCCACCAGCAGCCGCAGAGCAGCCGCGCGGCCAGGGCAAGCAGAACGCAGGGAGGGCACGCATGGAGGCACATGTTGGCTACGCCGCAATGACCTCAATACCTTTTTCACACCTACCAGATAAGACGGGCAAGGGTGCCTTCCATGACCAGCTCAGCGACGCCACGGTCACACTCATCCGTCTACAGCGTGGCACCTTCGCGCTCATCAGTTGCTACCTGGACTGCGTCATTGGGCTCGTGGGTAGCAACGGCACCAAGCTCGGCAACGTCCTCAGGGTTACCAGGTCGCTCGGAGTGCCGTGGATCATAGCCGGGGGCTCCAACTGTACGCCAGATGAGATGGCTTCATCCCGCTGGCCACAGGCACTCAAGTGCAAGATCCTGGCGCCAGATGCCGACCTCACCTGCGCCAGCGGCAAGGGCCGAGTCCTCGACTATCTGTTGTATTCCGACTCAGCCAGACCATACATCAAATCAGTGGATGTAGTGCGCCAGGCCCCATGGGGGCCGCCAACTCGCGGCCAGGCCAGGCGAAGTCCAAGTCCGTATTCCGTGGCTCCCCAGGAGGTTCGAGACCCCGACCGTAGAGACGCAGATCGCCAAAGGTATCAAGCGGGCACAGAGGGACAGGCAGCAGTACGAAAAGGCCGTCGAGGAAGGTTTGGACGACGATGAGCTCGCCAACCTCCAGCACTTGACGAGCGATACCTACGCCAAGAAGCACCGCGCCTTCTGCGCTGACGATGCATGGACCAACGCCAAAGACTACGCCGCCCACTGCCAGCTGGGGGACCCCCCGCCCTGGGTCCAAAGCTCCCTGGCGTACAGGGCCAACCCAGGCAGCGCGGGCAGCTTGGGCGAGAGATACGGCTACTGGGCAATGGCGGCGGGGAAGACGCTCGCAGATCTATGCGAGGTCAAGCCGCGTAACAACGCCAGGCGCGGCCAGCCCATCAAGTACGTATGGACTGCAGCTACCAGCCTCCTGAAGCATCAGCGAGGCCACCAAGGGGCGGCTCGGAGACCTGAAGTCAACATGTGGGGCACACTGCAAGGCAGGCTGACCGAGCTCAGACAGGTATGCCTCAAGACTAACGGCACCTCTGGGCAGCGTGCGGCTATCGAACACGTGATCATACTCACATGCCAGCAGATCAGGGGCGCCCAGAAGATCATGGAAGACGACCCCAGCGAAGACAGCAGGGCACTCCGTTGTACGGAGGCACTCGTCCGAGGCCAGCGCCTGCCAGTCCCAGACGACGAGCAGGACGAGTGGGTGACAACAATAGAGGCAGTTCGCCAACGTGCGGATTCACGCGACAAGAAGGCTTGGCAGGAGACCAGATCTGCAGTACGCCACTGGACGGAGCAAGCACTCCAAGGATCTATGGGCGAGGGACACAGGTACCTCAGCAAGCCAGAGCGGAAGGACCTCAGCGAAGTCACCATCGACCCACTGGATGGACACCCAGAAGGCGACCTCCAGGAGGGGGTCAACTTACGCACGGCAGCCTGGGACAGGCGCTGGCAGAGGGACAGACTCGCAGGACCTGCAAGCAGTCATGGAAGGCCTGCGCGCCAAGGCCGACGCAGCCAACCGCAACCGAAGGCCATGCGAGCTAGCCGACCTGGACAAAGCCATGCGCCAGTTCAAGAAGACCACAGGCAGAGGCACGGACCAGTGGAGTGCAGCAGAGCTGGCCGCCCTCCCGATCCCAGCCAGGCAAGAGTTGACCGACCTAATCAATGACCGCGAAGCAACGCTGTCTTGGCCCCACCAGTTCTACCACGTGTGGTGCCAGCTCCTCAGGAAGAACGACAGCGCGGTCGCAGGGGAGGAAAGACCCATCGGGCTATTCCCCATATTGGTTCGAGTCTGGGGCAGACTCACCAAGCACGAGGTGGGACAATGGTGTGACGAGAGGGCTGCTTTCTGGGGCGCAGCGGTGACTGGCAGCTCCGCGCTCCGAGCCTTCATCGTCGCGGCTTGCCTGAACGAAGCGGCTGCGCGCGGGCATTCAGCTGAAGCATGGGCAAGCTTGTTCCTGGACTTAGGGAAGTTCTATGACAACATTAACCTGGTCACGCTCATCAAGAAGGCGGACGCCCTGGAGTACCCGCCCGTCGAGCTCTACTTATGTACGCTGATGTGTGTGGCGCCGCGGGTCGTGCGAGCCTCTGGTGCGTACGGTGCCCCACTGGCCCCATGCAGCAGCATCGTTGCAGGCTGCAACCACGCCAACAATGCGGCTCGCATGATGCTATGCGACATCCTCGAACTTGCGCACCGCACCGCACCAAAGGCATGGCCGCGCCAGTATGTCGACGACGTGCAGATCCGCGCGGAGGGAGCCTGCAGCATCGTGGGGCACCAGATAGCCACCAGCGCAGCATCCATCATACGAAGCTGCGAAGCCGACCAGCTGCCCATCTCAGGGAAGTCTGCGCTAGTCGCCTCGCACCCAGCAGTCCGGGATGCAGTCGGCGCCACAGCGGCTGCCATGGGCCTCACCCTCACGCAGGCCGGCATCATGAAGGACCTGGGCTGCGACACCACCATTGGGAGAAGGAGACGCAGAGTGACCCAGGCCAAGCGTGCATCACAGGCCAGGCAGCGGAAGAAGCGGGCCAAACAGTTCCTGCGGGCAGCCCGTTGGAGAAGACGATCAGCGAGCCTGTGCCGCACCAGAGTCAGGGCCAAACAGCAGTACGACCAGGCCGCAACGGGCATGACCCCACACGACATCGTCAGGGCACGACCTGTGGCAGCCGACATGGCGGGCATCACGGCGGGGCGCAGATGCACGGCTACGGTCCTCATCCTCACGCACGGCGACAAGGAACCGTGGACGGCCAACGTCGTCCGCCAACTTCGCGAATGGGTGCGCATGTGGCGACGCAGTGGCGACCTACGCGACCGCCTCCGCGAAGCATGGCACCGCGTGCAGATCCACCTGGACAGCGTCACCAAGCGAGGCCGATGGATGGCCGCCACGGGCCCCGTGGCAGCCCTGCAGCTCTCTCTCTCTCGAGATCCTCGGCTGGATGGTGCAGGAAGCGGATCAGTGGACTGGTCATCGCGGGCACATGTGGCAAATCTCAGATGCCGTGGATGCCAACCCCACTGAGGTCGAGGAGGCCATCAAGGACGCCGCGACCAGCCTCCTTTGGAGCCAGGCGAGCAGGTACCCTAAAGGACAAGGACTACAGAGAGGCGCCGACATCTCTGCGCTCCAGGGCAGCGCAAGTCTCTTCCGCAAGCTAGAGAGGCACCGAGAGGCAGGCGCGCTTGAAGCATCCGCATGCGCAGCGATTTGGACCAACCAGAAATGTCATGCAGCAGGATACCACACTCAACCTACGTGCACCCGCTGCCAGCTGGGAGTGGACGACGCGCCATTCCACATATTGTACGAGTGCTCAGCCACGGACGACATCGACCACCAGTGGGTCACCAGCACGGCGGCCCTGGTGGTCAGGGCGAGAGCTGTCAAAGACGACCCGCTGGAGCACGCCTTTTGGGTCAGAGGCATCCTACCCAACGATATGTGCCCAATCGACCCACCCCCAGAGTGGGGCAGCCTCGACGGCACGCACTGGGCAGTCGGGAACTTCGGCATGCGCACTGGCGACGCCCGCTCCGTGGCAGCTGCGGTCGCATATACTGACGGCTCAGTCACGTCAGGCGACAAGCGCATCGCCCGAGCAGGGTGGGGCATAGCGCTGGAGCTGCCCGAAGACGCAGGCACCGACATCGACGACTACCCAGGCTGGTTCGGCATCCTGGACGGGCCCCAGACCGTCGCAGCAGCAGAGCTCGCAGCCATCTACTGGACGCCCAAGCTCACCCACGGACCACTCACCATCGTCACGGACCCCCAGACGGTGGTGGACGGGTGGCGCAGCTACAGCTATGCCTGCCCAGAGGCCCCCCTGGCTAGATGGTGGCAGCGCGTCCAAGATGCCATCAGAGAGCGAGAAGGAGGAATGCGGGACGTCACCGTCATCAAGTGCTACCCGAGATCAGGCAGCCCATGCGCGTAACCAGAGGGAACGAGCTCGCTGATGGGATGGGTACGCGCAGAGAGGAGCCGAGCTTGCAGCCAACGGCATTGTCCCCAGGTCGCCGCCCTGATCGAGAGAGAGAAGCTCCTCAATCGAATCCACCGCAGGATAGGTGCTGTCGCTGCTCACCTTGCAGGACTCGGCCACCCACGGCTCACCCGCACGCGCCAGTGGGGCGGAGGGGTCAGGGCCTTCCACACACGCAAGCAGGTCGAGGGAGAGACAGGCCACCGAATGCACAAGCGGACCGACGGCAAGTGGGTCTGCCTCGAGTGCAGCAAGGGGCCTGGCAAGTTCTCCATGCTCGACTGGATGCGGACACATAGATGCAATGCAATGCCAATGGTAGCCAATAGCAGCGGGCGGGCCACCAAAGTCCCCAAGTCGGAGTACGCCACCCTCATGAACCAAGGCCCGATACACCCAACGCACAACCTGAGCTACCTGCATGGGCAATGCTGGTGCTGGCGATGTGGAGCAATGGTCGCCCTCTCCGCCGACGGGAAGAGCCGCATGCTACGGCTCCGACACAGATGCCGTGGTTGGATGACGCCCGCAGCCAAGCACCAGCTCGACCGCCTTCGGCGAGGCAAGCCCCCCAAGCCAGGCAAGGCCAAGTGGCCAGACGGCGCGGACGCCAAGCCCGAGTCGCCCCGCAGACCCAGAGCCAACCACTCAATGCGTGCAGCGGCGAGGGAAGCGGGCACGGCCAAGCGGAAGTGGCAGCGCAGAGGCCTATCGGCGCTACTGCCCGCACACCACTCGGGCACGAGCAAGCGAACCAAAAGCAAAGGCGAGCACCCGCGGGCTGGAACGCTGATACCGACGCCTCGAGCAAATCCCCCAGGAGATGGACTCCTTGGCTCAGGGATAAAACATGGCGGCAGGAGTCTCAGCAATACAAATCCTGGAGAGGGCCTCCCAGGCTCAGGAGTAATCTGCCCGCCAAAGCCTCGACCAAATCCTGGGGATGGCCTCCCAGGTCCAGCGGTAAACTCAGCGGACAAGAGGAGTCTCGAGCTAAATCCTGGAGATGGCCCCCCAGGCCCAGGAGTAAATGGTGACCCAACCTGCAGCTCAGCCAAGCGCAGCTCAGGAGAGCCCACCGACCCAGCCGAAGCACCGAAGCGACCCAAGCAACGACCGAGACAGGGCACACGCAGACCACGGGCCACCAGCACCGACAACACCACCAAGCGCCGATGCGAACATCGGAGTGTGCAGCCAAACTATGAGTACAGCACCAAGGACAACGAGCCCGACTCACGCACCAAGGTCTCGACGCAGCCGGTCGAGACAGAAGGGATGCAGAGGGGTGCCCTTCCCCCGACCGACACAAGCCAAGATGCTCGGCCACTAGACAGCTCCCAATCGTGCAGACCTGAACGTTCACGCAGCCCACCAATCGCGAGACCAGGCTGTTCAGACAGGAGCATCAGCGACCCAGACGAGCAATAAGAAAGGCAGGATATCCCCGACCTGGGCCAGCGCATCATGTCACTCATGGGATTGAGGACGTGCGAAGGCGGACTCGCGGGCATCTTCGACGCCAGCAGCAGCGAGGAGGTCGAGCCCAGAGGGAACCACGCACGCGAGCACAGCCTGCTGGACTTGAGCCCGCCGACGAGCGACCAGTCACGCTGCCCCGCACTTCGCCGAGGACAAGCAGCACAGCACCAGGAGGAGGAAGGCGAATAACCAGGCGACGAGGCGGCCCAACTCTAAACGGGCCCAGCGACCCACCACGTCAAGCTAAAGGTGTGCGGCAATGACATTCATGGCGTAGTGGCGCAGGAGAACTTGGAACCACTTGAGATCGCGCTAGAGCAGCTTTCCAGCTGGTGGATCACCGACGTGGTCGACAGCCACGCGGGCAAAGCCAGCTGGAACGACTTATGCGTGGACTACGTCAAGCGGGAGTTGCGGCGCGAGGACTTCGATGGGTTCTTCAGGTACGTCAGTGACGCCGATTACGATGCCGAGCTCCAACGCCGTGCCCAACAGATATGTGACCGAGGATGGGACGGCGGGCACATCATGCGAGAACGGCGGCTGGCCCACATGCACGCCCAGAATGGCGACGACTTAACCGTAGCGATCCAGCGCCTCACTGCCTACCAGGCCGCGGCAAGGGCTTTCCTAATCCCCAGGCAGCAGGTGCACCATCATGAGGCATTCCGCGATGGGCACCTCAACAGCTCTGCGGACTACATCCCCATGGACCAGGATGAGTCCAACGCCAGCGCCGAGCCACAGGAGCACGACCCAGGCAACGACTCCCTCTCCGACCACGGCTCCATCGACACAGCAGGAGGAACTCCAGCGGCAGCGGCAAGACCGCCGAACGAGCAGCAGCACATGGCAGTCCTCCAAGGACCTCAGAGCCCAGCAGCAGCGGACCCCGCAGGCCTGCCAGACGCAGTAGCGCCAGCAGCGGAACAACCCCCAGCCCCAGAGCTTGACGCTGCAACAGAGGGCGAAACGGATGCGCCCGACGAAGCGGCCCGCGCAGAAGGGCCGCCCCAGGCCCCAGCGCAGGCTGAGCAAGCTGGGTCTGTCGAGCCAGACGCTCCGAGATCCAGGTCCCCGCGCCCAAGACGGAGGCTGGAACAACCTAACAGCAACGATCCCACGGGCAGGGGACACGGAGCACAGGTGACCAGGCAAACTCAGTCTTTCTCCAGCCTGAGCGCCCTCTGCCGACAGCTAAGCGAGTATGCGGCCACGTGGGTCCATGACCTCACTTCGCCAGAAGCAGGGCTAACGTCATGGACGGCATGGAGCAACTAGTACGTCACGGCGCTGCTCTGCAACCCGATTCACAGGCGCCTGCGCGACGAAGTGGAGCTCATCGCAGGCACCGACAGCATCCTCAACTACATGCGTGGTATCATCAATGTCGCGTGGGCCACCGCGCAAACAATGCGCCAGCGGCTGACGGACCACATCCAGTCCCTTAGTGTGAGTGAATGGCTGCACGTGGTCGCGATGCACTGGGCCAACCTTGACGAGGTCCACCGAATGATGACGGACGCGCTAAACGGTGACCTCGCCAACCTTGGAGGCCAGCCACCAGAGTGGGCTCCGCCCCACGGCGCGGCCGCAGGAGTATGGTATGGACCACCCACAGCACCAGCACCCGCGCTGCCGATGCCAACATGCATTCCCAACTGGCTCGTCACGGAAGGTTGGAGGCGACCATGGCCTAACTGGGACCAGGTGCCCAAACCAGACAGCGACGACGACAACTACCACCATCCTGATGCAGCACCATCTCAAGGCGAGGTCGGCCAGGCCCATCCACAAGTACAACCACAGGCTGGGCAGGCCCCTGCCGAAAGGGGCCCAACAGCACCTTGGGGCCCAGCCAGGGGTGGAAGGGGACAGTAGCATCTACCAGGACAACGCTAGCTACGACGAAGGCCCACGAGGTGGGGCTGGAAGAGCCGAACCAGAAGGAGGAGATCTCGGGGCTGGAGGAGCCAATGGGGGAGAATAAGACCAGTCAGCCAGCCCATCGTCGCCATGGCCATCGAGATCATCGACGGAGAGCCCCACTGGTGACAGGTGGAACTCAGACAGTAGCCCAGGCAGAAGGAGGGCAAGGCCAGAAGACTCTGCCTGCCAGGCAGGGACCGCCGAGGAAGCAGCAGCGATGGACCTGCCGACACTCGGAACACAACAAGTCGGCCAGACCCAAGCCGAAGCTGTACCAGGAGCCGAACTCCGACGCCGAAGAGCCAATGAGCAGGCCTGGCGAAGAAACACAGCAGGCGGGCGCAGCCGACCCGAGAAGGATGAAGACTTGCAGCTCATGCAGACCGCCGTGAGACGAGCGGAACACACCGACAGGGCTCCCCCAACTGTATTCGAGCCCGCACCCCAGCGTGAGGTTCAAGATCAAGGCCTCCAGCACGGAGAAGCCCAGACATACCAACCGCCCGTGGAGGCGCAGGAGCCAGCCAGCACCAAGGCCGACACGCGCGGGAATGCGAACAAGCGTCACGCGCAGAGGCCTGTAGGCAAACCGCAGTGCAAGGCGCGCCGCCCAGCGGGGACCGACGCCAGCCCAGACGCGCAGGTCGCGACAGGATCCCCTGCGACCAGAGAGGCCATGGCAGCTGCTGCAGCCCGCCGAGAGGCCAGGCTCAAGGAAATACTCAACAGGAGTTCGCGCAGCCACGTGGACGACAGCATCGAGCTCGTCCAGACCGAGCTCCACGTCGTTGCGGACCACGCCATCGTCACCAAGTCCCCCTTCATCAAGAATGACCGCCCAGGGCAGTCCTCGGCCAGTACCTGCACCTGCTCGGTGCCTTCAGGACGCAGGGGCCGCCTCGATGAGCTAACGACGACCATCGGCCTGATCGGAGCTGAATGGGTGCTCCGTCGGAGCTGAATGGGTGCTCCGCGAGTTCCTGCATAACGAGGAACTGGACGAGCAGCAGATGTGGTTGAACTGGTGCGTCCCCTTCGTGCTGCAGCTGATGGAGGCCAAGGACATGGACTGCCTGTTCAACGCGACCGACGATGACGAATACTGCGACTACAAGAAGCAGCTCGCGGAGGAGGTGTGCCACACTGCTTGGGGCCGCAGCGCCTCCCTCCGTGAGGTCCTGCGCACCAAGATCCGCGAGCGAAGGCAACAAGGGCAAGAACTCTCCGACGACCAGCACCGTATGGCCAGGACCTTCCTCAGGCTCAGCGGCACGGGCAGGCCAGAGTCCCAGCCGTCGGTCTTCCACAGCAGCGAAGGCCAGCCCGACAACAGCGGAGGCGACGGCAGAGCCAATATGGGCTCGGCCGAGGCCGTGGCGCTGCTCCTGGCAGCCGCAGCGGCTCGGCCCAGCCCCCGCGAGGATGAGGCACGCGGCGCTGGCGACGACCGAGCAGCTGCGCCAAGACCACCAGATGAACAGGCCAAGATCGGCCGCGACGACTGGAAGCAACGCCTGGAGGAGC